GCCGACTATGATGGCGGTGAAACGTCTGTGAATGTACAAAGTCCACAATGCTCATGCACTCTATGGACTCCGGACAATATGACCAAGTTGTGAAAAGAAGAGCAAACAAGTTCTAGGCAACGATAGGAGACCGTGACCATTCAAATGGTCACACCATCCTGGTCCTTATACCTTTGATAAATAAATTAAGTATGGCTTTAAGAGTCAACGTCCACATAAGTCTTAATAATTATTTAAATGTGTAAACTTAAATTGCATCCTCTTAAACAATATTGAATGTCTATTATTTCATATTTTTAGTATGTAAGTAGAGTTTTGAGACTACCAGTAAATGAGTAATATGAAATGTATTCATCCAGAGTGGACTCTTGGTACTGTGAAATGCTCTACCCATATCATTGTTAGAAAATTCTACTACCATTCCTTCATCACCTTAAACGAAACTGGGTGAATAATTAATTCTGCTACCTACCTTGCGTTAAATTATTCTCTAAGCTGTAAGTATGTTCACTACTGCTAGCCTTGGACATGTATTTTGTGTACAAAGATGGTTGAAATGATTACTTACACTGGACCCAATGAAAATTAGAAGCAGTTGTGAATGCCGATTTGTCGGTAGAGGCCTGAGCAAATCAACAAGCAGCAGTACCACCAGATTTACCGCTCTCGTCCTCCTATTTCCATAGACCTTCAACATACGTCATTCATCCAATCAGCTGTTTGCGCTTCAGAGTCGTCAGGACTACCAACCCAATGGCCCAGTTGCCGAGTGGAAATGGAGAGCAAAAATCACAAGGCAATCTACCAATCAGCTGGTCAGACGAAGACGTCAAGCCGTTGAGGTTATGTTCGCTCTCACCCGTGTCTGTCTGCAGGCCTACACAGGCCCACCAACCGCAGAGAAGAGCGTCAAGGCAGCATACACACACCTACAAAGTACCAGACCTCGCCAACACACAAGCATGAAGAGGGGATTAAGAAAATGTACCATTTCTAATGGCGTGAAGAGGAACTGTTAGCGAGTCAGGTCACGGAAGCTGTGAAAATCGCTCGGTCAACCGGACTGCACCTCCAACTTCTCGGTTTCGTCAGCAGGCTCATTGGGACTCGAACCTGAAATGCACCAGTTGACACGCCAGCCAGTTGCTCCTAAATATGTTGAGGCCAGCTTTACTGTGTAACTATGCTTGTCGCTTAACTCCTAGCGGCTATGAGTTTTACTTTCACTCGCACGTTCTGGGCGCGAATCCCGCTTTTGCAGCTGCCGAAGAAGGTCAAAAGCGCACTCCAGTCAGGACGAAAATGATGTTCACTTAGCTTCAATTAATTGCGG